AAAAGGAAGCACATTTTGAATCACCACCGCACCGTGACCTTTCCCAGCTTCTTAAAGACCACCTGTCCTTTCAGGTATGGGCTTCCAAACTTCTATTCAGGGCAGATCAGCATGATGCAGCTACTTTTATGTTACAAATGAAAAAATACTGAGTAACCCAGGCAGAAATGAAGAAATAGAGAAAGATTTAAATGCTCAGAGTGATAGGATTACTACAACCATGAATTTGAACAATAACTGGGGAGAAGAGTAAATTAAAAATTTGGCTTCAAAAAAAAGCTAGAGAACAGTCTATGTTCTTAAAGTCTAGTCTTCCCGAGTACACTCAGTTTTAAGCCTTTTTATTTGTCTAAATCATAAGGACAGAATAAATCATCTCTCTTCAAATTCTGAGAGCCATGCTCTGAGCAATCAAGTGAGATCTGAGAGTCAGAAAGCCACTGTCCACGTGGTCAAAACTGAGAGTCCTCTAAAGACGAAGGCTGGAAAGAAACTACTATCTTGAGATTGAATTCAAATATCAGAATGATAGTGACCAAGCAGAACCCATGAGACCTAAGCCATGCATGGATTTATACAAGGCCCAGAAGAAAGGCTCCAAGGTTAAAAGAATATTTGTAATTCTAAAAGACGGATTTCTCCCACTCATCAGGGTAATAATACATATAATTATGAGAAAAGACATATTAAAGAGAGAAAAGCAATAGAACAGCGACAGTAAAGATAATAAAGAGATAGAGGTAAAGATATAGATATAAAGACACAGTCATTAGGATCCTCGATGAGAATCCAGAAAGCAGAGAGATCTCCAGAATGCCTGTGGCTAATACACTAACAGATCTCAAAGATAGTGCCAAAGGTAAACGCCACACACAGTCTAAAACAGCCTTGAACCTCATTCAGCACTGGTGTGCAATCCATCACTATGTTGCAAGGCTGGAAGAAATCTCATCTCCTTGGATGACAACCACATATTACCAGCCATGTGCATGAAAATATACATTTATCTTTAAACACTATCAACACACACCAAATTACCAAGATGCTAACATGTTGAAGATAGTCAAGAGCCAAGATCAAAAATAGAAAAGCTGAATTTCCTCTCCCATCTGTAGGTGGATCTGTAGGTGGATCAGTGCCAAAAGCTCAGTGAGTGAAAGGAGGAGAAAACTGAGGCACAATGGACTTAGAAACAGCCCTCTTCCATTCCACTCCCTTGTTGGTTGATCTCTATCTTGCTCCCCCTCATGGTGCCCTCTCTCTCCTCCATCTTGGTATCACTCTCTGTGCAGATCTTTCTTTCCCTCCATCTCTCCACCCTTTCCTACCGCGCCAAGGTCATGGAAATGCAGGGCGCTGAGGAAGCAGCTACAGGATTACAATAGAAAACAATCACACTGGAAAGGGCTAAAGTGGAACCCAAGACAGAGAAATACAAAAGAACCCTGATTAGTAAGGAAACTTTGCCTCTGCTTCTAGTTCTTAAAATATGCACAGCTAAATAGAGCTGATGTTCAATTGTGAATTTGGTAATCACCATTCTAGTTAGAGGGGCATGCTGATGTACACTGTTTTCCCAGTATTTGTATAGTTCTCACATGTATGGTCTTGGTTCTTCTCAATTAAGTTTCTTGTTTTTAAATTACTAAATAAAAGCAAAAACTCCGCAAAACAATGAGAAACAACTAATCACACAGGAATGATGTTGGTTGTTTAAAAAAATCCTGCCTAGCCCTGTCTGGTAGATGACCAATCACGATGTTAACAGACAGACAGTCAACCTAAGTCTGTGCCCTATTTGGCCAACTGCATGATCCCATTCCTGACTGATAATGTGAATTTCTAAATTGATTTATCAAAGTGAACCAATTCACAAATAACAATTTAAAACTGATAGAAATGGAGTTAAGACTCTGAAAATATACAGATCTGACTACAGGAAAGAGGTGAACTCTCCTTCAGTCTCCCTCACCCGCCTCTGCCCGCTATCAACAGTTCAACACACATGCACCCTATTTCTTCCTCTCCTTGGCAATCTTTAAACACTACCAGCAGCTTATGCTAGGAACTTACAAAAAACAGTGGAGGAATCTACAAAAGAAATGGGAAAACACAGCAAAAAGTAACTGCACTCTTTAAATACTTACACACAAACTAAAGAATTAAAAAATACAAATTTATTTGATTATCCAATAAACATTTACTTGAAGACCATGTATACCTGCTGGGCTCAGGTTAACAGGTCACACACTCCTTGGGACTCTCCCCTCCCAAGACTTCAAGGAAGTGGCCCCTGAATTTTCTAAGAGAAAACAATTTTGGCACACATCTCAAAGGGTGTTCTAACATTGTTTTATAATGCAATATTATTTTCTCTCTAATCTCACAATTATCAGGGACCAGGTAGTTTAAAGTCAATATCACTTAATATTTTGCTTGAATGATCTTTGAAATGGAAATCCTGTTAACACTACTATTTTGCCTCTATAGGAATAAACATTATTATATTTAGTATCCATAGTTCTCAAACTAGATATGAATATGGCCCTCCCCCAGATTAAGGGCAGGGCACCACCAGATAAGACAGAATTTCAGGTAGGAAACAAAGCCACAGATGGAAGGGCACACCTTCCTAGAAAAACAATTTTCCCCTCAGAAGAAAATATAATATTTTATATTAAAAGAAGGCCCAACATATCATGTAGTAAAATTAACAACTAGTTGATGTTTTTTAAAGATAAAAATTCCAAAACTTTTAAGAAAATTTCTACTTGCAGCAGTGTATTAGGTTATATGCACAATATATGGCATTTTCTGCAAATGATCCTCTTGCCTTTAAAAGTGTGTAGCTTTTTTTCGGGGGGGGGGTGAGGGGAGAGTTATGCTAGGGATCAAACCCTGGGACTCACTCATGCTAGGCAAGTGCTCTATCACTGAGCTACACCACCAGTCCTTAAATGTTCTTTGATGAAACTTTGGGGGAATGTTTCACACACACTGTGAAATCCTTAAGAGTGTGAATTACATCCAAGTCCTTCTCTTTGTTCGCTGGTACCTAGGACAGTACCTATGACAGTTTCTGGCACACGGTGGGTACTCAATAATGCTTGCAGAATTAATTTGGCTGAAATAATGACAACAGCATTATCAATAACAAAAGACTGTTATCACATTTGGATGGAAGGAAGAAAAGATGAACAGTTGTATGAGGAAGTAGAGGAGAAGCAATCCAATTTACCAAAACAACTAATGGTTGCCATGGTAATAATCAGATGAAGCAACTCAATTTAGTACTTTTCCACTAACAAGAGTACTGGAAGGCAAATATTATACTTGTTTATTTCAGATTGGAAGGCCTTAGGACACAAGTCTACCAAGTGACACTGGTGCCCATTAAATTTGATAGCCTCTGGAGAATTTGGAAAGGCATGATAATAGTAATTCCACCAATGATATTACTCCTGGTATCTACTTTGACCCTAAAAAGGTCACTAATCATTTAAAGATCAAGTGTCAAACATCTGCTGCAGACTTGATATCTGTGAGAAAGCGATTTCTCACACACACACACACACACACACACACACACACACATACATCAAATATGATGTGGACTCACCCTGCTTCATTCCTAAGATTGTTACTTATAAAAATTAGCTGGATCCAAACTAAGTTACAGGATAAAAGATGACTCAAACAAACAATATAGTTCATAGTAATGTAAAAATTTTCTACTTCCCTGGTAGAGGCACTGCATTTTTACCTCACTTGTAAACAGTAGAAAGGATCAGTATCACACCCACTTTCTCCATACACTCCCTCTTTCACCTGAGTGAGTCATTCCCCCTGCACAGAATTCCCCTTACTTTCTAGACTTGAGGGAGACACTGGGAGGAGGAGGAAGTAAGGACTCCCAGATCTTGAGCCTTGAACCAATGAACAAGCACACTGACAAATCCCAAGACTATTTCCTTTTCTTAGTTTTAAGTCTCAGACATGCATTCTGATCACTAAAACGGAGCCTTTCTTATATCAATAAGGACATCTAGAGCTCAATATATTGTCAGCTAATATCCAAACAGGAAGAAGGAAAGCATGTTCAGCACTACAGTCTGAAAAGCAGAAATAGCAGCTGGAGACCTACTGTGACACAGACAGGGTCAGAAGCAAATGAAACTGAAAAAAAGCTCTGAGCATCTCTCCCTCCAACCCCTGAAATCCCACCTGCCGCCATTCCCTTAACCCCTGGAAATTAAGTTAGTAACAGTATTATTTATTTCTCTCAGAATCATAGGGGCAATGGATATACAGTATGATTTTGTCATTTTATTCTAGTGTATAAAAAGTGAGAGTTGAATCCTTGGTCTTTAACTAACCGACCAAGTACCTTAATTTCTGGGTCAGTTTCTCCTTCAATCAGAGATAAGTCTTCTTTCCATGAATTCTGAAAATTAAAGGCATGAACTCTGTAAAATGCCTATCCCACAGTAGGCATCAGTGAATATCAGTGAATAAATGTACATGCCTGACCAAGTTTTCTCTTCTACCTAGTCTTGGGAAAATAACAAATCCAAAAGCTACTATAAAGGATGCCAAATTGGCAAACTGCCCAGGCATTAGCCTCAGGGTGCAACCAGAAGGCCCTGAGCAGAGGATGACGTAATAGGGCCCAGTTGAGACTTAGGGAGCGCTCGTAAACCCGTGCTGTGTGCCTGTACAGAGGCTGCGGGTTTCAAGGTGGAACCTGTAATTAACAAAGTGCCATTTGCACGGCTCAGAAATCAGCAAGTGAAACTTTCCCCCTACAGCAGGATTATGTGAGCGCATTTCCTTAACTTTTTTTTTGGCAAAGTTAAAGTAAGTTGCTGAACAGAGAAAAGCAACTCACAGAGGAGCCGGATCCACTGGGTCTGCGTGTCCTGAAAGTTCAGGACAGAAGGCAGTGCAGCAGAGAAGGCAGGAAATGCCATCATCACCTCCCGCCCCTGAAGCACACACACCTGGGGATGAACTTGGCCTCGTCTCCGAGTCGCGTCTGGAAGTCCTGCCAAGCCCGACCCGGCTTCGTCGGTCCCCACGGGGCGTACAGATCCGCGGCGTCGTCCAGAATGTCCACGTCTTCGTCGCAGTCCGCGGGTTCGGGTCCCGGCTCCGCAGTAGCAGGCGCGGGCTCCAGTGGCCCCCAGCCCCGGCGCCGTCCTCCGCGCCGGGCCCCGCGGAAGCCGCGCGCGAACTCCTGGAAGGTGATGACGCCGTCGCTATTGGCGTCCAGCCGCTGGAACACGGCCTCGGCATCGGCCGGCAACACTCGCAGCTCGGCGCACAGCGCGCGGAACTCCTCACGCTCCAGGCGCCCGGAGCGGTTCGCGTCGCAGGCAGCGAAGAGGGAGCGCAGACGGGCGAGCTCCTCCGGGTCCCCGTCCGCCTCCATCCCGCCTGCGAGGACAGCTGACCGGGCTCCGGAGCGCAACGGGACAGCGCGAATCTGGGAAGTCGGGGCCACCTGCTGCTGCTGGGAGCCCCGGCGAGTTGGGCTTGTCTGGCTGGTTCGGCCACTTGCCGGGAATATCCGGGCGGGGCGAAGCGTCTGGGCGGGTCGAGGGCGGCCTGGCGGGCGGCACGCTTCCACGCTGGTGGCTGCCGGTCCCCTACAGGCCCCGAGAGAGGTCGGTGTGCCCCGGACTCCCTGCACAGAGCTGCAGCGCCGGGGGCTACTGAAGCCAGCGCTGCGCTTTGGCACCCTCCACTTTCCCCACGGGTCTGGCTCCGCCCAGCCAAGAGGAGGAACCTGGCTCTGGTTTCCATGCCTCCGGGAACCGGCCTGAGTCGGCCCAGTAGGATTTGGGGAACCCAGCAGGAAATAGGGGTGCTTCGCTTAAACACTGATTGCTCTAGTAAAGCGCATGGCTCAACTCTCCCTAGAGGTGGTGCTGGCATGAGCCATGGAAGCTAACTTCACGGGAAAGGAAGGGAGGGGTGAGATTCCAAATTGGTTAGTTATGTGCAATAAGTATTCTCTTTTAATTTCAGAAACTTGGTAAACCTTTATGTACAAATTTTCGGACAAACCAAAGTACAAAGTTTCCTGGAAGACCCCCTTTTTTAATTTTATAAGCTATCGTTAAACTATATTCATCTAACACGAGGGCCCCTTGTCATCTAGATTTTCCATATCCCCCAATCCTAACAATTTTTCTTAATCCATGATTCCTCAGCCTGACAGAAAATAATAACCAAAATTGATTGACAGGCAGCATTTTTGAAAAACTGAAAAAGACTAGCATAGTTTGGCTTGGATTTGTTTGGGGATTGATTTTTTTTTCTTTTCTTTAATAAACTTTATGGAAATTATATACTCAAAGATATACTACGCTTTGATTTCAAACACTTATTTTGACTTATTTTTTAACACTGACTTCTTTGTTCATATATGATCTTTAAAATCCTTGTGTTTATATCCTTTTAAGAAAATTCTGTCCTTCCATTTTCAGGAGACCTTCAGACTGTCTTAGATTATGACTGTGTCCAAGTGATTCTCCTGACCTATGAAAATACATGTAGGTGGGCTGGGGATGTGGCTCAAGGGGTAGCCCGCTCGCCTGGCATGAGCACCCGGGGCGCTGGTTCCGATCCTCAGCACCACATAAAAATAAAGATGTTGTGTCCATCCAAAACTAGAAAATGAATATTTAAAAAATCTCTCTCTCTTAAAAAAAAAAGAAAGAAAATATGTGTAGCTTATTTTTACTTATAGATTTTCTCTATCTTTTAGATTTTTATTTACTTTTAGTTTTGACTGTATTTCCCTTTTATATTATTCTAGAGTACTTTTATTGCTTAATACTTGGATTTTTTAAATATAATAATAAGTAGGGTATTTGACTGAGGTGTTCCTTCTAGGCAAACGTTCTTAAACACAAAGCTCAGTGCTAAACACCTGAGAAACTGTTTCTTGAATTGTACCGTTTCCTAACGTCCACATTCACAGCATCTATCATGCTGTAAATATAACTCCATCTGTAAATTTAACTAGTCAGTAATGAGAGTCATTCCATTAGAAGCCCTAATCTTAGCACTAATTGCTAAATGAAGGTAGTGCTGTATAGTTAGCTAACACATTGAAATGAGTTTTATCATTAGTGCCATATAGTTAACTGATTTTGAGTCTATTTGCTTTTCTGTTTATTCTAAAGATTGATTTTTCCATACAAAGTAAAAAAGTTACTAGCTTGGTAATGCTTTAAAACTTTACAGATACACTTATTAAACTAAATCTTTGAAATATTATCATACTGTTTAGACATTAATGACTCTGTTCTTTCAAAACAGAGGAGTTAGTGATTTTTAACTGCTTAAGCAGACTGCTCACACAACTTCATTTCTGAATTTTTACTGTGAACTTTGTGCCCCTTATTTATGAATTCTTCTGTTTGTTTGTTTTGTTTTTTGTTTTTTTGGTAACAGGGATTGAACTCGGGCACTCCACCACTGAGCCACATCCCCAGCCCTATTTCCTATTTTTATTTAGAGACAAGGTATCACTGAGTTACTTAATGCCTGCTTTTGCTGAGGCTGGCTTTGAACTTGCAATCCTCCTGCCTCATCCTCCCCAGCCGCTGGTATTATAGGTGGGTGTCCACCATGCCCAGCAATTCTTCTGTTCTTTGACATGCTTTTCTTTTCCTTGAGCCCTTCATCACAAAGTCATCAAGAAACACATATTATTCCAAATATCATATGCATATGTTTTATTTCCACTGATATTAATATGTCTCAGACTAACTATATTAATTATCATTACATAACAACACAACCAACACATAGTGATTTTTTGGTGTGTTTGTATGTGGTCCTGGGGATTGAACCCAGGGCCTTGTGCATGCAAGGCAAGCACTCTACCAACTGAGCTGTATCCCCAGCCCAACATAGTGATTTAAAACAGCATCCATTTATTCATTCATAATTCCATTATCATCCCTTTGAATCGGGTTCAGCTATGTGGTTTTTCTCCTAGCTTACCTGGGATCACTCAGGTGGTCACAGTTCCTATGAGCCATCTGGGGCTATTGGTCTTAGAGGGCCTTGCTCACATGTCCAGAAGGTGATGCTGGCTGTTGACTGGCTTATATGTCTTTCAGAAGAGAGCATGGGCTTCACCACACAGTGGCAATATTTCAAAAGAGTAAGGTCCTAATGCATAAGTGCTTTTGAAATCTCAGCTTGTGTCATATTGTTAACATTTTATTGACCTGTACAAGTCACGTAGCCAAACCTTAACTCAGTGTGTCAAGGAACTAAACAAGCCGTGGATCCAGGGAGACACCCTTCCTATAACAGCAGACCACACATGGGTGCTACAATAATCCCTATTCCCCCAGGGTCTGTCCTACTGTCCTCTTATTCATTCTGCAGCACCACAGCTGGACAGTCCTTAAACACCAATTATTCTTTTAGCCCAGTGGTTCCCTATCAGGTGGTAGTTTTATTCCCTATGGCACATTTGGCAATGTCTGGAGGCATTTTTGGTTAAGAAGAAAGGAATGTTGGAATGTTACTGGTATCCAGTAGGGAGATGCTTAATAGTCCATGATGCATGGACCAGCTCCTTCCTTCTCTGTATGGTTTGGATGTGAGGTATCCCCCAAAGCTCATGTATGAGGCGATGAAATGTTTGGAGGAGAAATTATTGGGTTATATAGCCTTTACCTAATCGGTGAATTAATCTCTGATGGGATTAAGTGGTGGCTGGAGGCAGGGTGGGTGTGGCTAAAGGAAGTGTTTCATTGGGAGTATGGCTTTGTATATTTGTATCTAGCAAGTGGAAACCTCTCTCTTTTCTGCTGATCATCATATGAGCTGCTTCCTTTGACCACACTCTTTCTCTATTATGTCCTGCCTCACCTTGAGTCCCAAGGAATGGAGCCAGTCACTTATGGACTGAGATCTCTGAAACATGAGCCTTTAAATAAACTTTTCCTCCCCTACAGTTCTGTTCAGGTCCTTTAGTCACAGCAGTAAGAAATCTGACTAAAACACTCTTTCACTCCATTACAAAGAATTATCTGGCCAAAATTGTCAGTAGTGTGGAGCTTGAGAAAGACTGCACCCTAGCTTATAAACCTCAAATGATGCCACAGTAAAAAGAGAACCAAGGGTACACTCTTCATATTCAAAGCCCTCTCAATCTAGTTCTTCTGTAGACATCCAATCATATCTCCCTTTAGCCACATTTACCTGATTAATTTAATATTTCCTTATTATCAGGACAAAATTTAAATATCAAGCAAATTCTTCAGATTTTTCCCTCTTCTTCCTAACCAAGAGATTTCCCAGCTTCGGTAGAATTGGATCTTGTTTTTCCTACCAGGATTTCCTCCATTTGATTGTGATGTGTTACTTACAAATACACTGCTTAGCAGTGTATTTCATTATATCAGCTTAAGTAACGGGCTTCAGGAATGCTTTTGAATATCCTCAGCAATACTCTCAGGGGAAAGTCAATGTTATATAATCAGTCTTTAATTTTTTAAAGAAACATAGGAAATTGGATCCTCTTCTATTTTAGCGTCCAGAAATAGCTAGCCAAGAACAGAGGAGTCTTTGAAAGTCAGTGAATTGGTAGGAAAGGAGAGCTTGCCCATGGTTGTTATCATGACTTTCAGAGAGATCAGCTTGCTCTTTTGCTGCCCAAGGATCTTAAAAATCAGAGATAATCTTGTTAGAGTGTGTTTCTCAAAGTAGTGAAAAGATATTCTTGGAAAGAGACCTTCATGATCAAGTATATTCATAAAATACAAATAAATTTGGAAAAGAATCCTTCTCAAATTCCTTTTTGGATGAGGTAATGAACACTAATTAATCTAATATTTCCTAATTGCTTCAAAATATGTGAACAGTTAGTGTTTGATTTGTTTACAATTTCTATAAGCTTTCCACAAAGTGCTCTTGAGGACTGTATTGTAGGAAACTTCATGTTAGACAATGACTAGGATGGTGAGTTATAAGAAATGATCCCTGGATACTACATTACACACTGACCCAACTTCCCATAATAATAATGAACCAACCCCCTTAACCTACAATAGTAGTAACAGATAGCCTTGCTTTTCCCCTCATCACAGGAGGAAGTCATTCAATCTTTCAACATTAATTTTGATGTTTCTACATTTATTGTAGATGCCCTTTATTTGGTTCAGGAAGTTTCCCTTTACTGGGAATATCTATCATGAATGGATTTTGCATTTTGTTAGATGGTTCCAGCAACTACTTAGATGATCAAGTTGTTTTTGCACCTTTGTTCAGTTAATGTGGTGAATGATATTGATGAATTTTCACATTTTAATCCAATTCTTGTTCTTCATGGGATCTCAGAGCTTCTTTAATAGTCTGTCCACCAATTTTCTATCGGCTCTAAGAGTGAGTTTTCAAAGAGTCTGGGCCCAAATATGCAAGACTTCTTATGATCTAGCCTTCAGAGTTCAGGCACCTTATTTTGGTCTATCAGATCACTGAGACCAGCCCAGATTCTAGGGGAAGGAAATTAATCTCCCTCTAGTGGGAAGAGTAGTAAAGAATTTGAAGACATCTCAAACAGATCTTATCTTTCTCTCTTTGAATTTGTCTTCACATTACCAACAATTTTTTTTCTGCATGTCTATATGTTTGAATAGAATGAAATATTTCCCATATCAACTCAGTCCACCATATTGATCAGATTTCTTTTACCTGTTTTAATACTCGATTTAGTATCAATTTAG